CAAATATGCAATATTACCTAAATATAAAATATGCATTTTTTATTTGGCTTATTTTAATCAAAAAAACATTAGATATGCATAGAAAACTTACAATTTTGTTGATATACCTCTTAATAACAAATATGCATTTTGCATATAATCCGAGCCTTATTTATTAATGTTATAAAACAAATTACTATTTATTAGTGTTTAAAGATTTATTGGAACTTTTTTCAAGCAAATAATTAAAAAAGCAAAGAGAAAAAAATACAATTTTCATAACAACATAATACTAGTTTACAAATAATCACTTATTTAATGTTCCTTTTATCAAATTATTATTTATTTACCTTTTATGAAACAAAAATAACAGTTTTTTGCTACACAAGATAATTTTCTTGATTTCTGCACAAATGTAAATCAAGTCCATTTAAACTTAAATTGTTGCTAAATTATTACAAAATTGTTACCAAATGGGTGTAAATATGTCTTTTAACTGTTATAAGGAAAACTGATCAAAAAAAAGTACATATAAAAAACAAAGTCAATAAATCATTTTTAATTTGTTGTTTGGCGTTTTTTGTATTCTTGTTAATTACATATTTCTTAAACGTAGCGTAATAGACATTTTTAAATACTTTTTATAAACTTAGTGCCTCAAAAAATCTATAAGACATTGTAACTTTCAGCTAAGGTATATGAATGCTCTAAACTAGTATAATTAAAGAAATAATTCATTATTACGAAAACAACAAACAAGAAAACAATTGTATTTGTTTCCATAATTGTTATTCTTATAAAATAGTATATTAAAGTACAAGTTGCAGAAGGTATCTATTCAAAAACAAATTTGAATGCTTGAAGAACCTTCTGCAACAAGTGCTTTATACTATTTTTTTTATTTTGAAGCTTTATATCATTTTATAAATTAAAAAACGAAAATTTTAATTATTTTTTTTTCTAGAGAATTTTATGACGGTTGGCAACATTTATGTGGAATAATTTTAGGCGGCTGTAAAAAATAAAAATAATTCTTATAATTCTTATTTTCATTTCATTTGGAAATGAATTGTAAAGAATGTCCGTCACTAAAATTAAATTAACGCCAACGACTTATTCCAGCACTCAAATGACGTCATTTGGGTGCTGGAATAGACTTATTCTAACATCGAAATAGAAAAATATATTTACATTTGTTTGTGTATCAGTTTAAAACATAAAAATTCGATTTGGTACATAAATATTGGTTTGTTGTTGTAATTTTGGTGGATGCGCCGGGACAGACAACATGCAATTTGTTTAGTAGCACTACAACTAATTGGTAGAAATTAATTCTCATAACTTAAGAGCTCTTTACACAAAATTACATTAAATTTCAATAATTACATACAAATGAATGTAGGTTCAGTTTAAATTAAATATAATTTCGAAATATGAAATAAAGGATTCATTTAAATTTTGTAGTAAATAACATTATTGTAATTATTATAAAATATTTATTTAAAAAAATCGATGAATAATAAAAGTCGGTTATTACTTTTTTCCAATTTACTCCTAATAATAAAATACATACATGTTTGTTGTTTGATTTATTTTTTTACATTTATTAATATTAAAAACAAATAAAACTGGATTATGGATAGATAATGTCAAACTTTTGTGTAAACATAAAAGTGCAATTAAGTAGATATTGGTTATTACTTCTGCTATTTGTATTTAACAATAAAGTGAGTTATTAATGTTTGTTTAATATTCATAAAAAAATAGCTTCAAACAAAATGTTTATACATTGTTTAACTAGCTGTAAAAAACTTCCATAACATTAAATTTGTGATGACATTTTTATCATTTCTTCTTGAAAAGGGGTGAGAAAAATCAAACAAGAATAAATATCATAATACGAGTAACCACAGCAAATCAAAGATTGTACCTTACAGCATTATCATAATCTGAAATAATCGCCTTTTGGATTTTTTATTCTTTATTAGGTCAAAACAGTTCATAATTTTAATAATATGCACGAAACTTTGTTAAGTGGATTAGGACTTGGAAAGTTCCTTCCGTAATATTCCTCCATCAACTTGAGTTTAATTAACCAAAAATACGGAACCTTTTCGTTGCTTGTTACACTGTATTTACGCCATATGATAGTTGTGTCTCCGTTGAGGAGACAAGTTTTTTGCCAAGGGTTCACTGCCGTTCATTACCATGCTAAAACCTTTGTGGCTTACGCCCAAGTAAAATTTGCATTTATCACCAGTATTGTTCGGTAATAATCCGAATTTACTAGTTTCTCTAAAAGCGAGAGATAGTTAGGATTTGTTGCGAATATGTTTTACATAATCAAGAACACAGCCTTTGCAGTCTATTCTCATACAAGCCTGTATAAATCCCAGAGAAAATTTCGTTGTAAAATATCCCCTTTTATCTACGACATGATAAACTTTTATTTGGTGGGGAGTATTATGATCCGTTTACATCTCCGAAAATAAAAAATATTATCTTTATGATCATACAATATTTACTCGCTGATATTGGAATGTAATTAAAACACTACATGATGCATTTCTGTTTTTGAATTACATTTTCGAGTTAATCGTAGTTTAATACGCTTCCTCTTAACTTAATTGAACCACACCTTGCGGTTTCTGCATTCTTAGTTGGAAAATTACTGTCAAAAATTGTCACCGTCACCCCCAAACAATTTACATAATTGAACTAAATTACTTTTTTCGTATAATTAACGTTTTATTTTCCACTGATGTTTAATTGTTGACATGCAATTTGTTCAAATAAATTGGCAGATTGCTAATGAAGCGAGATGAATCATTCTTGCATACAAATTGATCTTCTGTAAAACGATAATTATGTATAGGGATTCAAGGTACGGTTGTCTGAATAGATTTTAATTTTCACATCGACAAATTACATTTAAAAAAATTAACATCAAAGACGTTACTAATCACTTTTGCAGTTATAAATTACAGCGCTTGTTGCTAATGAGGAAACTCGATTTCTTCAAGCTTCCTCGAAAATATCAACAAGTCGAGTTTAACACTCATTTCAAAATTTTTAGATTTGGAATTATCTTGAATTTGCCTAATAAGCTATTTCGTAAAAAAAAATCATAACTAGATTTCAATTTTTACAACTGCGTAAGTTTTCCTTAAATCAACACCTAATTAGGGTATAACGACTTAATTATTGCCTTAATGAGTAGCTGTAAATGAAATGTACACAAAAACTAAAGCCTGCTTAATAACAAATTGGTTTGTTTAGGTGAAAAATTCTCGATATATTGGTTTTGTTACCACAATATGATATTTTTAAAAATTTATATTTTTTCAATGAACTTAAATCGAAATACTCTTTTCTATTTTTTACAAGAAATTCTCAAGCAGCTAAAAATATTCTCAAGTAATACACAGATATTTTTACGTAAAAAACATACTATTAGAAAAAAAAATATGAAATTTATTAGGAATGCCTAGTTTTTGATAAAAAGTTTTAAATTTTCAAAGCTTTTTGCAATGTCCTTTACATCGTTCCGTTTTCAACAAATTGTTTATATACCTACACGTATTAACAACATAATATTTAATTTTCTTTGTTAATTCTAAAAGTTAAACGAATGTGTTTCAAACAAATATGAATGTATTATTGACAAAGAGCTTTAAGAATTGGATTAAAATTGCATTACTAAACAAAATACTTTTCAACCCAAATTATCCTTCATTGATTTAATTAATTTTACATTTGTTTCACCTTTTTATTTATTTATTTACTTCTATTTTCTATTGACTTCTAAATTTTGAAGTACTACATTCGAAAATGTAGCTTCTCCACCGAAAATGTAAAAAAACTACCCAGAAAACATCGTTGAGTTATTTTTTTAATACAACTGAATTTTATACTAAAAATACAGGGTGATTCACGAGAAATAATGAACCTGACTAAATTCTCGATGCAACCAACTTTACACTTGTCGCAAAGCAACTTGCGGAAAGTAATGGTGGTTGCATCGAGAATTTGGTCAGGCTCATTATTCCTCGTGAATCACCTTGTATTATTTATTTATTTTTTTCATTTTTAAAAAAACGCACCGAATGAGTATTTAATGAAAAAATTAAAAATCAACATTTTTTTGAATGCATTTAAAGAAGTTGGCAAATCCGATTTTAAAAAACCTAGGTATCAAAGCCAAATGTAAATTGGAAGTTTGCAGTAAAATTAATCCGTATTCCGTTTTCAGTGTTGCTTTTGGTTTAGCGCCTCAAAAAACATTTGTTGAGTTTACAAAAAACGTTTGTTATAAAATACTTACAGATCGAGCTTTTAACAAAATATCATAATAAGTTTAGAAGTTAAAACATGTATTGCATTACACTATATTTGCAAAAACTAATTTTAAAATCAATTTATTTAATTAACTTAACAAACCTACTCTAGACACATACATGGACGTGTATGTCGCAAACACACATACATGACTAAATTTAATATTCATTCTTTCACTGTGTTAACACAATATTTTTCAATTACCTAGAAAGTGATTTATGAGAGCTTTTCTAGAGAGTAGAAGATTATCTCATTAAAGGCCATCTAGTCCTTGAGCCTGCAATCAACAAATCAGCTTGTTTTAAATTATCATAAGTTGAGAAAGCATTTTCAGGACTTTCGTTTTCACTTTTTCATCGCAATTAGTAGTCTAAAAAAAATAAATCTAATAAAGAAAGCTTTCGCCATTAACGCTTGCAAGACATAAATCAAATAAAAATTTTGTCCTGCCTACGTAATTGCCAACAAAGCTGTATTTACCCTACCTATAAAAATGGATGTATAGGAGGATGAAAATAATTCAAATGCAGTCGTTCTCTGACGCAAGAATACGCAATTAATAAGTGGGTGGTTGATCATCACTTTAGATTAATTTGAGGATAAATAAACACAATAAAGCTTTTATAATTAGCATAGGTGCTAATCGGCGCCAATTTTTGAATCAAAAGCGCCCCCTGTGAGAAACAACTGCAAGTCTGGGAAGGAAACCGGAAAGAAAACTCGTCCATTGCGCCTGTTGTTTCTGCCAAGGTAAGATGTCTGCGACGACGTTTAAATTTTTCATAAAAAATCAGAAGAATCTTAGATTTTCTTTGTATTTTCGTGTTCAATTCTATAAAAAAACTGTCATAATAAATGTAGAATGACAATATTTTTTGCTTAAGTCACATAAAAAGGCAAAAAACGCTAAAGTAAAATTGAGGTTATGTTATGTTTCCATGTTACACTTACTTGAGGGTTAAATAATTCGACATTGTTTGCGGTTTTAACGTTGCAATTTGTTTCAGTTCTTAAATTCTTAAACGAGTCCCTACACACTACAAGATGGGTAGGGAGGACAAGGCAACTTGGAAATCGAATTACTTCAGCAAACTTGTTGTAAGTACGGCCTTTTTTTAATTTCTATAATTATCTTACACAATGATGATCATTTTTCGTCTCTCAAGGGCTCCCATAGCCATGCTAGTGCTAGAAATAGCAGAACCCACTAGTATGCGGGGGCGCACTGTGGATCCTTTTAACTGACTAACCAAAGAATTAAGAAATGTCCTTTGTTAGTTTTCTTAGTGGTAATAATTGTTTTATTTGCAGCAACTCCTTGAAGATTACCCAAAATGTTTCATCGTGGGCGCAGACAATGTCGGCTCAAAGCAGATGCAACAAATCCGCATTTCCCTCCGAGGCACAGCTGTTGTCCTCATGGGCAAGAACACCATGATGCGTAAAGCGATCAAGGGTCACTGCGAACGCAACCCTGCCCTTGAGAAACTACTCCCTCGCATTAAAGGAAACGTGGGTTTTGTATTCACCCGTGCAGACTTGGTGGAAGTCAGAGATAAGCTTCTTGAGAATAAAGTTCGTGCACCGGCGCGTGCTGGCGCTATCGCACCATTGCCGGTCGTAATTCCAGCCCAAAACACCGGGTTGGGTCCCGAGAAGACATCTTTCTTCCAAGCCCTTTCCATTCCCACTAAAATCTCTAAGGGTACTATTGAAATCATCAACGATGTCCACATTTTGAAACCTGGGGATAAAGTAGGAGCTTCTGAAGCTACTTTGTTGAACATGCTCAACATTTCGCCATTTTCGTATGGTTTGGTTGTTGAGCAAGTGTACGATTCTGGCACTCTTTTCGCACCTGCGATTTTGGACATCAAACCTGAGGATTTGAGGGAGAAGTTCTTAGCGGGTGTTGCCAATGTGGCGGCTGTTTGTTTGGCTGTTGGGTATCCAACTATTGCTTCCGCTCCACACAGTATTGCCAATGGATTCAAGAATCTTTTGGCTATTGCTGCTGTTACTGAAGTTGAGTTCAAGGAAGCTTCAACTATCAAAGAGTACATCAAGGTAGGTTTAATTACTTTTGATTTTGTGTAATAAAACTGATGGAATTTTGTTTAGAATCCAAGCAAATTCGCAGCTGTTGCTGCTCCCGCCTCAGCTGCCCCAGCTGCGGCTGCTCCTGCTGCTGCGGCTAAAGAAGAAAAGAAGGAGGAGTCTGAAAGCGAGGACGACGATATGGGCTTTGGTCTCTTTGACTAAGCTCAAGGGAAAAAAGGTTTTGTTTGCATCTGCAGCCAGACTGTCTAATAAAAGATGAAACAAATTCAATTTATTATTAAGACAAAATAAACCTAGTACCAAACACCTATCCCGTTTATACCTGTAGTAGTATGTCTGGCTAATAAGATATGTCGGATACTGGGTGTTTGACGAGTTCCTAGTGTATTTTTATCATTATCCAGTTAATAAAACTTGAAGGGTTTTTTGCCTGAGAAGTTTTAGGTATTGTCTAATGTGTATTTGTAACATTTCTAGTCAGGCATTTTTTTAAATTTTCTTTAATAAAATGTGTTGGAAGGTAGACCTTTAGTGGTGCATATAAAGAAATATCTAAGTAAAATAATTTTATTAAAAACTTGACACAACAAATGATTTCATCATATAAATATATTTCAAAAACCCTAAATGCTCTTCTCTTTAAATACTGACAATAATTAATTAATTACAATAGACACTCTGTTATGCTTTCAAGATGTATTTATACTACAATCTACATAATAAAAAAATTGCAAAAGTTAACATTTAAAAAAATACGTGATCAAAGCTATGGTGTTAAGTACGAATCAACAAACGTGTTTTTAACAGTTTGACAAAGCCGAAGGTATATTTTCTTTTGTTTTAGACATTGTAGAATAACCCAATAATTCCGGGCAAGACACTTCACCAGACTGGATACCTTTGATTGTTTTCAACAAATCGTAATTTATCTCTTCTGTTACCTTAGAATCTTTGCTGTAAAAATAACGCATTTAAAAATTAAGACTTAGGCATGAATCAATTTTACTTATATGCAGGATGTTCTGTTACGAATTTTCGTAACCAAGAAGCTGTGGTGAGTATTTCACCTGAAGCCCGACGCTGTATAAATTTCAAATACTGTTGTATTGTACAATGAGTATCCGCATCAACATCCATTCCACTTAAATAAGTATTAATCAAAGGAATCAAACCTGGAAATTCCCCGTCCTGTAATCAACACCTTGTTCAAATTAGGTCAAATCATTTTACGAAATTACCTTTCCATTTATAATTTCATTAACGGTCATACAAGTGTAAACATCACAGTTTTTAGGCTCACAGTTTGTTGTTCCTTTCTTACAACACTCATTGGCTTCCGGTGGACTAATTTGAGTCGTAACTTCCTTTCTAAACCAGAATTTTTGTTCCATGCAAGCGTTCCGTTTTTGCGCATTTTGCATATTCTCGTCCACCTATTTAAATTAATATATATATTTTTTATTAATTATGTAAACATCGATATTACCCTGCTTATTGGAATTAGAAAGTCCAAATTGTAAGATAAAATCACACGTGTTAACAAAACTACAAAACAAACTATGGCAGCATTTTCGAAATCGGTTATTTGGACTTCACATGGTCTGAACTCAACTCTCCAACCAATGGTTGAATTGGGTGGTGGTGGTTTAAAACGCATGGTTTGCCAATTGGTCGACTGTATGTTCTGTAAATAAAAAATATATAAAACCCTTCATTAAAAAAAAAAATTGTATTTACTTCAAAATGGTCGGTATCCTCTTCATCATTTTGGTGCACTTTTTCCGAAAATAACGAAACCGAATCTCTAATGAAAAGATGAGCAATATGTTGAGCCAACAAATGGTCAATGTCATTATCAACCAACTGTTGGTATACTTTGGGATCATATATCAAGGGCACATCATTGAATTTTTCGCCTTGTGGCGACAAATATGAATCTATCGAATCATATCGTGATTTTTTTATCACAAATTTATCGTTTTTAAGCTGGACTAAACCGCGTTCTTCCTTAGTGCGACAATCAACAGAACACGAAATAACATTCCATCGACAATCAACATCCGTAACAAAGCCGCGGTGAAGAGGTGATGCTGCTGTTAGAGCCAACTGTAAAAACAATAAACAACCATTTATTTTCGAAACGATTCAATTTTTGCGAAATTACCATAATTGGACACAAAGGTGTCAATTGGTCGTACAAAGTCCTAGCCTCTGTGATGTTGCAAGCTTGGAAAGTCAATTGCAAACAGCAGCAACCCATACCAAAACCCATCGCATCCATATAGACATGATCTGGTAAAGCGGCCGAAGAATATTTGTAGGAATCATCAACGGGAATTCGCGTATTTTGATCTCTAAAGACTGAAATTATTAGTGTAAAAACATTCAACTCTTTTTGGATAATTTACTTGGTAAATTGATGGCAACTTTTTCACCACGTCTTTGACGGATGTTTCGAGACAATGTTTTGAACCGGGGATGGCCCGAAAAAACCGCATCGTCGGGGAAAAACAGGGAACGGGTGGCGCCCTCGTCCGGCGTTGGTTTAGTGAGAGGGTCGGTGAAGTTCTCGCAGCCGAGCCTTAAAAATCAAAATGCTTTTTTCACTGCTTCAATATAAAATTCTGTTCATTACAAACTCAACTTATAAAACCTAATCGAGAAAATTGCTAAAATAATAAACAATTTTTCTAATAATTAACAGTTAAGACTCCTTCAAAAGTTATAAAAATAAATAAACCAAGAAACAAAACTAAAATATTTGGCCATTCGTATTTGTTATGGACCCATAGATAGTTATTTATTCTACGAGTTTGAGTGTAAAACGGAGGCATTATCTCATAGAGTGGATTTTTAAACCACGAGTGTAACAAGTGGTTTATCATCCACGAGGTTGAATAAAGCGTCCGATTTACACTCAAACGAGTTGAATACAACATTTTATTCTTCGAATTAGACTCAACAAGGCTTAAACTTGCTTTAAATCTGTTAAAAATAATCTGAGAATTGCCAAAGAGTTATCAAAACTTCCTTACACAGGAAGAAACCGTAAATTTTGACAGTATCGAAGAATAAATGTATTAAATTTAACTTTAAATCCACATTTTTTATATTGTTACCTAGTGTAATTTTCCAAAAATAAATAGGGTATTGACGAAGACATTTATCAAAAATATTTATCACTTATTTTTCATATTATAAGTGATAATTACTGTAACTATTAGAACATACTTTTATTCAGTGATAAACAACTTAATATTAAAACGCGCGACTTAAAAAGCCCAAAGGAACGCCATTTTTTTTTAATAGCCTTGAAAACGATTTAAATTACTTTACATTTACGATATTAATTTTCAGGTGTAATTAAAGTCAATTTATTTCATTATTATTAATGCTACATAATTATTATATAATATATACGTATCGTACCTCACGATTTTCCTTTTAAATAGTAAATTATTTTCAAGGTAAAAAAAAACAAATGATAAGCAAGAGAAAGACAAGTATTCATTCAGAAATCTCTCCATGACTGTTTCAGATATTAAGATGGAATTTTTTCTTAGATAAGGATCGAACAAAAAAATATAACAACTGAGATTCAATAAACAATAAATTCTATGTTTAATTAAGAACATCAACCTGTGAAATTAAACAAGATGTAACAAAAAATATTCGAAAATGTGATTACAACACGTGTTGCTAATTGTGAAATAATGTCGATACTGAAACAAAAGTAACATTAATGAAAATTTTCCCAACGATTCTGTATAAATATTTGTCAATTCTATAATAAAAGAAAAAAAAGAAAAAAATGGACTTCAAAAGACCTTGCTGATTAAGAGTAATAAAATTTTAAATGACAAAGCGCATCTTATTTAAAGAACACATTTCTAATTTAACATGATGATCTATGCATTTTATTATTTGACTGTTTGTCACACAATTTCATTAATTTTGCAACACAAGTAATCTACTTTGATTTTGAAATGCGCCATTAATAATATCAAATTAAAAGGTTAACAGGGATCAAATGTTTTATTTAATTTTCAAAATTGCTATTAATTGTAGATGTAAATTTTTCGCCAATTAAATACAGTAGTAAATTACTAATTACGACTTAAAGTTAGAACTCAATACGCAGTTAATACAATGATTTGATATATTATTTCAGTATGAATAATAATCACGTACTGTTATATAATCTCATTAAACAACAATCAACTAAAAGCAAATTGATACAAACAAGTACTTATTTATTTAATGCTAAAATGGAAATGAATCAGCAGTGGCGTTATTCTTTAGTTCAGTTCGGATTCAAAGTTTATTTTCAAAGATAATTAATTTAAAATTCATTGAACTAATCCAAAAATTTTGGCGGGAAAATACAATCAGAAACTCTGCACTCATTTGTATGGATTGAATGATATTTCCTGGAAAAACTTACCATCAACTATAACAAAATACACTATATTTTGAAAAATCAGTAATGTATTAATTTTGAAAGAACTAAAAAGAATAAGAAAACTACAACTAACCTTCATTCTATTTGGAGAAATGTTAGAAAGTCTTCAGAGAAAATTTTAATGTCAACTTATCGTGCAAAGCGTTTCATTAATTGACTCTCACAATTACTCATATACAGTGCAAAAACTATTTAAATAATTAATATTATTATGATTATTAATCAATATTCATTCCTCGCACCTCAAAATGTTATTATCTAGGGCGTCGTTATTTAGTTATTGATTTAACTATTTATGCTGAATCATTACACCAACGAGAATTTTTTTCTAGAAAGAGTAATAAAAAATCTTTCAGAATTAAATTCTGATGACAAAAATAAATTAATCAAGACAAGATAATCTTCAAATTGTTATCTTGCGGAAACGTACAAGATATAATTTTTATGATGATGCAAAAAATAATCGCGTTTGACACACTTTTACCATTTAAATCTCAACAAAAAAATCCTGAGTCATGTAATATTTGAACTTGATTACCTGGGAAAACTAGTGATGGTCATTAAACATTCATCGCTTTTGAGCAATTGGGACGCTTCTTCCCTCCTGTGTCGCATATTGGCTTCCACGATGTTGAAATGAGCCAATAAGCCCCCGTATGGTTTTCCAGGAGTGCCTTCAATCATGTAAGCCCCATACTCAGGCCTCCACAGCGATTTAACCGTCTCTGGGTTTTCCAACTCTTTTTTATTCAATTCAGTTAGGATTTCATCCGCTCTTAAGCTAACTCTGGCCACTTTTTTCTCCTCGTTGAATTTTACAAGAATATACTCTACCTCGTCGCCCCATTTCAACACGTCCCCTTGCCGGTCTTTCAGACGCTTGTATAAGTTTATAAACTGGATAATTCCGTGTTGACGCACGTGTTCGGCCAATTTTTTCGTTTCTTCCCAAGTTAAAGGAGTTCCTTCAGTCAGCAAACCCATCACTTTTTATTAATTTTTCGAACTGTCACTTTATGATTTACTTCAAAACGTGTTGCATGTAATTTGTTGATGTTAAATTGGTACGTTGATTGAGGGAAAGTTTGTTTTTTTCGCAAATTTGAACTAAGAAATGCGAGATTAACTTTGAAGAACCACTTTGAAACTGGGAATGACATACGAAAACTACGCAAATTTATCAAATAAAATTGCTCGCTGTTACACAATTAGATAAGATACAGAGAAATAAGAAACTGTTTATCTAATCTCAACTACTCTTTCTTTAAATTCTGCACTAACATTATTCAGGATAACCACTCGGTGATTAGTAGGTTGACAGAACGTGACGTCGGTGTCTTTGAACACTGCGCAGGCGCACATAATGCCGGTGTCATTTGTTTTTAATTAAAAATGCCAGTGACACCTTTTGACTACCAAGAAACTTTGTTAAAGGTTTCTGTATTTCAAATAAACACTCAATTTGTAAATCTTAAAACACAGCGTAAACATAATTTATTATGCATGAACTTTTTTAATTAATTACAAACACTTTGCTTAAATTTTACTCGTATTAAATACTAATTATATTAGACAAAAAGCTAAAGTAAAATACTAAATTGTTGGCTCGTTAGCTCAGGTGGTTAGAGCACCGCACTAAAAATCAGCTCTGCGGAGGTCGTAGGTTCGAATCCTACATGAGCCCAACTTTTTGCCCCAATCGTTTGCAATAAATGTTGCGATTTTTGCACAAGTATTATTAATTGTATAATTTTTATGTATTATTAAGAAATGTTTATGTAAGGTCAGAGAGATAAAATAATTTACTATAGTTCCAACAGTTTATCTAATTTTAGACAATTTTCTTAAAAATAATCATTTATTTATTTTTAATTATGTTAATATTCACTGTAAATGTGTTTTAACTCTTTTAATTTGGTTTTTAAAAAGTCACTTCGAAACTGAGTGGACGTTTTGAAAAACAGAAATTGTGCAATACGTTATCAAAAGTAAAATCTTACGTAATCCACTGATGAAAGATATTATTTTTTTGAATTACTATAACATTTATCACCTTTGACATATCTAATAATGCAATAATTTAACTTGTAATAATTATATAAATTCAAAATTAAGAATGCATATAAGGAACAGAATAAAGAAATTATGACAATATTTTTTTATATATACTCGTAACATTTAATTTAATAGAAAAAATT